CGCATCTGTTCTTTGGTCAACTTGAAAGAGTGATACTGTGTCTTCGCATAACATTCCAGGGTAATGAAGTCACTGTTCATGATTAGGAATGGTTTTTGAACTGCTTTTCACCCCCTTCTTTGTGCAAAACCAAACTGAAATTCTTCTAAATTTGAAGTCACTTGAGAATCTGAGTGGAAGCTCGAGCGAAATTGTCTCTTCACATTAATTTGGAACCGAATTCCGAAGAGGTGAAGATCCTGGGGAGCAAGGCAAGACAGCGTCCAACTGGTCACGCTGACAACTGTTGGAAGTGTTCATGGAAATTTTAATACCGTTTCCTAAAGACTCGCAATGCTTTTTGTGATTCAGGCTTTCATCTTACACCAAGAACTGAATCTTGTCGACCTGCTGGCTGTTATTTATGTGCTGGTGCTTTTAAGTGCTGTTCCCCATTGGGCCAAGGTCTCTGGTCAAAGAGCGGGAAAAACCATTTGTTCCCTTCTCAAGCTAACTGGTCCTGAGAGCTGTTGAACGTGCCCCACCACCACTGGGAGAACCGAAATTGCGGAGGCCTGAGGCATTTCAAAAGCGAATGTGGCTTTTAAACTGCGCAGGGCTAGAGAGGTTTGCGACGCGACAGCTGACGGTCCCCTTCCCCCCGCGGGGTCAGCTCCCTACCAGTAAGCGTCTCTCCCTCTCCAAGTTAACTCACCACACACCCACGCCCCCCCACCCGCCTCCCCCCGCCAGCCCTTCCCCCTCCTCGCCTCCTAGGTTCCCGCGCCCTCCTCTTCATTCCCTCAGCCAGCCTCTCATAGCCTTTCGCGCCCCCTTCCTCCTTTCCCTCTCATTGTTCCCTCCCTTTTTTCCCTTCGGTCTCTCGCCCTGCCCACCCCGCTTTCATCCCTTCTTTTTTCCCCTTGGATTCGCGCTCGCGCCGCAAACGCCGCCTCCTCTCTCTACCAGAAGCAGCCCGGCGGGAGACGCAGCAGACCGACTTCGCGCAGGCGCACTGTGGGGCGGGCGCGCGGGCAGGCTGGGCGTCCGCGCAGGCGCTCGCTGTCCGGGCTTCGCTCAGGCGCTGGCTGCTAGGCGTTCTTCGCGTCTCTTGGTCCGGGTTTGGGGCCGCGCGCCGGCGGCGGCACCATGTTTCTTCATTCAGTCAATCTCTGGAACCTGGCGTTTTATGCCCTTATGGTCTTCATGGCGACCCTGGGGCTGTGGGACGTCTTCTTCGGCTTCGAGGAGAACAAGTGCAGTATGAGCTATATGTTTGAGTACCCGGAGTATCAGGTGAGGTTCGGCTCTCTCCTCACCTGGGCGCTCTGAGACTCGGGCCCCTCCTGTGGGTTTCTCCTGCTTTGGCTCCCCGCGCCTCTGTGGCACCCGTATGCCAACCTCGTCTGTTTTTGTTTTTGTTTTTGTTTTTGTTTTTTCCTCCCAGAAGACTCTGCCGACCACCCGCCCTCCCTGCTCACCTCACCTACCCTTTGTGTCCTCTTTTTTTCTTTTTCTGTTTCTTTCTTTCTTTCTTTTTTTAAGATTTTTACTTTTGGGGGATGTCTACGCACGATATGGGTCTGGAACTTATAACCCCAACATCAAGAGTCTGTGCTCCTCCCACGAGCCAGCCGGGCACCCCGCCTTTGTGTCCTCCCTTAAAGTGGGGTGTGAGGTAGACGGTTCCTTGAGCATCCTACCCGCCCCCCATAGTTGCTCCCCTGTCTCCCGCCCCCTTCCCGGTCCCAAATCCCAGGCACTGGTTGTTTTGACTGCCCGGGCCCACCCCGCCTCATTCACAGAGACGCAAACTCAGCGCCTCTCCCTAAACCTAAACCCCATTTTCCCTGCGTTCCTGCCTTAACAGGTGCCCCTGGACCCTCCTTGGCTTTCCACGCACCTAATTCTTAACCATCCCGCGCAGTGATTTGCACGTCAGCTTTAGCTTTTCTGGAAAGGGACTGAGCTTCCGCAGAGTTTGTGTTGGCTAGATCCCAAGACTGCCTTTGAGACTCCAGGGTCTTACCTCTGTGTGAAAGGCTAACCTGGGGAGGAATTAAATGGAAAACTGTTGAGGTTCCGTGCTGTAAAGTTTTGCGGAACCTCCGGTTTTGTAGGTCACCGGCCCGTGCGTGTGCATGCAAGCCTGTGTTTATGCTTGTCGCCTCTTAGCAGTTGTATACAAAATCTATTTCATAGTGGTGTTTTTGTTTTCTCGCTGTGTTTGCAATTTAGGAGAGACCCGGCCCTTCTGTCTCGAGAGCGCGCGCGCCGTCCCCCACCTCTTCCGTTCCATTTTGAGATTTTTCTATCACAACTGCTTCATCAGTTCAGTTTAGGAGAATTTGGAATTTCATTCATGACCAGCTGTGGTGACAAATTACACAACTGTCCAAAAAAATTTCTCTCGAATGACTGTTTTATTGCTAAACGCATCTCCTAATTATGGAATACATGTTATAATGGTAACCCATCATAGAAAGTATGTGTACTATAATACATTACTGATAAAACGCATTCTTCTTTTATTTTTAAAACCATAGCAGATTTTTTTTTTTTTTAAGGTGTAGAATGCAGATCGTGATTGCCTCTGCCCAGGGCATTGTGGATTAGCATGTTATTTGATTAATGCTGCTATTATTTAGATCGTAAAAATACCTAAGGTTTAAAAAAAAATTTTTTTTCAACGTTTATTTATTTTTGGGACAGAGAGAGACAGAGCATGAACGGGGGAGGGGCAGAGAGAGAGGGAGACACAGAATCGGAAACAGGCTCCAGCCTCTGAGCCATCAGCCCAGAGCCCGACGCGGGGCTCGAACTCATGGACCGCGAGATCGTGACCTGGCTGAAGTCGGACACTTAACCGACTGCGCCACCCAGGCGCCCCAAAATACCTAAGGTTTAAATTGTTGAAGAACATCTTTTCCCGTGGGCAAAATTCTAATTTAGATTTCATTTGCTTTGAGATCCTTATCTTGGTTTTGCATCAGTGCTTATAAAGGAGTGGAAGAACTTGATATCAGATGCTATTGAAGGAGAAGATATTAATGTGTTACTGTTGTCTCAGTTTCTAAGCACATATGCCGGTTTATGTTTATCAGAGTCTATACATAGTTAAATACGTGGGCTTTTAAGGTTTTTTTAAAACCGAAAATAGAGCCCTTATAATCTTTCATTTTTCTATGGTGTAATAATTGAGAAACTCAATAGTCACTTTAGTTTTCTACTTCATTGAAGAGTTTGATTAAAACAAAATTATCTGTAACAATACAGAACGAATTCCCATTTATTTTGAGATTGCCCACAATTATTGAAGCTACTTTAATATCTGCAGTAGTGGAAATTGCTTAGTGTTGGGAACAAAGCATATGGACCTCACAGATGCATTTCTTGCCTCATAAAATTAACTGGAAAGACAGAAAATTAGCTAATGCAAAAGAGCTGTTTGGGTTTTTTTGTTGCTGAGTAGTCTATTTAGCTATTTTGATTCAAATTACTTTTTTGTGGTTTTACTATTCCATTACTGTTAATATTATTTGTCAGTACAGTAATAATTACAGTGGCAGGAGTTTCTGATTCACATTTTCAGTTGATATTTATTTTTATGATGTAAAAAGAGGCTGTGTTAATTCACTACAGTATTATATTCGATTCTTGTATCTTAACATTGTGTACACCAGGTCATGTTATTTTAGAAATATAGTTAAAGGCTATCTGTAGAATTGAGTCATCTTGAATATAGTGAGATTTCTGGATAACTGAGATCGTTCTATTAAGAACCAGTGGTTTTTAATGAATAAAAGTATTCTAAATACGTCCATCATATGTATTGTTTACTTCTAGTTATATCTCGTAGTAAGCTTTCTAATTGTTCACAGGTTGATACCTGCATATAAGTTGGCATATTCGTTGGCTTTTCAGCTTCTTGACACTTTTCTTCTTTTTTACTGTTAGTTTGCATATTTGTTAGCTGAATTTTAGAAAAAATTATAGTTGAAACACACTCTATTTTATTCTTCATTTAAAAAATAAAAGGTGGGACAGGAATTTGAACCTATTTGTAAGAATGAAGTTTTGAATTTAAAATTGAGTATTCATTTTCTACCTTTGGTTTTCGTAGATTCACTTACTCAGAGTTAACTGGACATCTCACAGACCTACCAGGCAAAATATACATTATCCCTTAAAGCTTCTTGCTTTATTATGATAGCAAGGCACAGCTTTTATTTGGTAGCAAACAGTTTTAGGCAAATTGTAGAATTCAAGAAGAAACATCTGTGTTGTTTTTCTCCCATATAGTAATTTATTTGACCGTCTTCAGATAAGTGACCTAGCAGTTGCTATCTGAAGAAAATGTTGATATTGGAAAATACAAATGATAGCATTTTGTTATTAAGTGTGATGTTCGTTTGGCAAATAATTTATTGAATAACTACTCTGTGTCTAGTATATTCTAGATACAAGGTATGGGTAAGAAGGAATTAGAGATGAATCAGACTTTGCCTTTATGTCTTTATAGTACAGTGGGGGAGACAGGAATGTAATGGATAGTTAAAATGTGCTAAATGTTATAGTTTCACTGTAAGAGCGCATATGAGGTTCTTCACAGAAGACAGTGTCCAAGTTCATCTTCAGTAGTCAAAGGCTGTAGCCAAGTTGTAGTGAATTAGAGGATATATATGTATATATGTGTGTGTGTGTGTATATGTGTGTGTGTGTGTGTGTGTATATATATATATATACACACACATATATAGTTCACATTGCAGGAATGGGGTGCCTGGGTAGCTCAGTCGGTTAAGCATCCAACTTTGGCTCAGGTCATGATTTCACTGTTCATGAGTTTGAGCCCCATGTTGGGCTCTTGTATTCTGTGTCTCTCTCTCTCTCTCTCTCTCTGTCCTTCCTCTGCTTGTACTCTGTCTCTCAAAAAATGAATAAATGTTAAAAAAAATTTTCTTTAAAGAAAATTGCAGGAATAAAGAATAGCATTTGTGAAGGTGGGAAGGCACCAGGACACATTGTATAAGCAGTATGTATATATATAAACTGCTAACACTGATTGCCTTGTGGGTGCAAACTACTAGGTGGCTAAAGGACTAGTGGTGGAAGAGAGCCTTTTCAATGTACATTCTATTGAATCTTGAATTTTGAAGCATATTAAAAATAAATTTTAAAACATGGCATGTGTAAGTTTAAGAAAGGTAAGAATAATTAGAGCCAAATATTAGAGGACCACTGTCTTAAGCCTTTATAAATGCAGTCAGGAAGCACAGAAGTTGTATGTTTTAACAAGGTATTTTTTGACACCACTATGAACTCTGGATTGTAGCAGGGAGGTTATGACAGGGAGAAAGACCAACCAGTCTAAAAGATTCAGTTGTCCCTAGGTGTTTTTATTAAGCTGGAGTTTTTAGGGGTGGGATGAACAAAGAGCCAAGAGCTCTTTGTAAGATCTTTTAAACTGCATTTTGATCAAAATCTCTTTTTTCTCCTTTTTTTCTTAATTATGGAGCTCAAATTTGAATTTTCCAGTTTTGATTTACAAGTAAAAGATATGTGTCATAAAAAAAGACATTTGTTTCTTGAATTGGTATTTTTCTAGTACTTGGGAACTTATTAGAATTTTTGTCTTTTGAAAGAGTTTGGGGTTTAGCGATTAGAAGGACCTGTACTAAGGCAGAGTCAAGGAGGGATGGACAGCAGGGGCAGGATTGTGGACATGTTATTTAAGTATAAGTGTAATTTATTTTGATTGGAGGTCTGTTTTTGGGAAGGTGTGCTCATTTAAAATAATATATGCAAAATAATTTAAAATATATGGGACTCTTGTTACTATAAAAGTTTTCTTTTAAATCCCTTGACCCTCATCTTTTTCTTCATCAGCATCCTTTTCATAGGCCTATAATTTTCTGTCTTTAATCTGGTCAGAACCCTTTCTTTCTCTTCCTGCCACTCCCAACTTGAACTTGTTTTTCTATCTCTAGAGAATTAAATATTTCTTTTTCAATATATTGATAGTTTCTTATTCTTCTGAGTTAAGTTTCAGCTAGTTCAAAACTTAATGTACTAAAAAGAATGATCTAGGGGCGCCTGGGTGGCTCGGTCGGTTAAGCATCCGACTTCGGCTCAGGTCATGATCTCGCGGTCCGTGAGTTCGAGCCCTGCGTCGGGCTCTGTGCTGACAGCTCAGAGTCTGGAGCCTGTTTCAGATTCTGTGTGTGGCTCTCTCTCTGACCCTCCCCTGTTCATGCTCTGTCTCTCCCTGTCTCAAAAATAAATAAACGTTAAAAAAAAAATTAAAAAAAAAGAAAAAATAAAATAAAAATAAAAAGAATGATCTAATATTCATGTACTGTCATATCAAAAGATGTACTAAATTGGGAGAAGTTTAGATTAACATTTTCTTGTTCTCTCATGTTTCCTTTTTGCTTAATGTATACTTAATCAAAATATTGCATCATTTTAGTTTATTATACATTGTGCATAGTCAGTATTGGGGCTAATTTGAGTTGAAGCCCATATATATATATAAAGTGAATTGCGGGATTAGTATTTCTGCATTTTGGGTATTGGAGGAGATAAAATTGCTAATATTTTAAGCAATAAGTGCACAGTCTCTAAAGATATTTTCAGGTGTTATTAACACAGATTGTTGATGGTAATATTTTTAAAAGAATCTTGAATGTGCATGAATAATCAGAATTCTGCTTCTTAGAACAGTGAGGTTTTTCAGTGTCATTACCATTTATAGGCTTTAAAATTCATTCAGTAGTTAAAATTTTTATCAAGCACATGTACAGCACTGCTAGATCATTAAATCTATTGATGTCTACTTAAAATCTATTCAATGTAACTGATTTCATTTTTAATGGTTCTATACTCAAAAAAGGGGCAGAAGAAGAGAAGGAGAGCTTATACTTTACCATCACATTCATAGATGCTTATGTTTTGGGGATGACATTAAGACCTAACTTCTGTTTTGTTGGAAAAAAAAATTGCGTGAATTACTGGCTCATTTGTTATACAAAGTATGAATTGCAGAGTAGTTTAAGGCTTGCTGACAAACCATACACCTGGTCCATGAAAACTGAAACAGATGCTAATTCATTGGCATGTTTATGGTGAGAAAAGTGTACATGTCTTGACCAAGACATGGCTGTAAGGTTCAGATTAATGTGTTAAGCACATTGCAGATCAAAGCATATTAAGTTGAGAGGTCAGAAAGCTGTATTACAAAACAAGCTTACTTTGTTTTGAATGGTATAACAGCTGGAATATATAGTTGGGCCTGAAAAAAAGGAAAGACATTACAAAATAGTTTAAAATAGCAAAAAAGAATTGATTTGTTAATGGAAAGCCTTTATTATTTCTAAGTATAATTGATACTGATACTATATTAAGAGCATTTCCAATTATATTAACATGTAACTTGCTGACATACCTCAGTGTTTTTCTTTAGTCAGTGGCTACTTTGAGTAATTTGCATTCATTAGAATTTCAGGTGGTTCCATTTTATGCGTTCTTGAAAACTGCATGGTTCAAAACTCACATAATTCAAGACTAATTCTGCATTCTACGTATGAATAAGCTAAAAGTAAAATTTGTTTGGAACATTAAGTGCAGTTTTATCATTAGTAGTATTTTTATGCTATGCTGTTTCAAATGTGTGTAATACAGAAATGGACACAGTAGGCTGAATTGTATTAATACAACTAATTAAAGTGAAATTGCTTTTTTTTTTCTTTTTGCTGTAGAAAATAGAACTTCCAAAGAAACTGGCAAAACGCTATCCTGCATATGAATTATATCTTTATGGAGAAGGATCCTATGCTGAAGAGCACAAAATTCTCCCTTTGACGGGTATTCCAGTCCTCTTTCTTCCTGGTAATGCTGGAAGTTATAAGCAAGGTAAGTCTTGGGGTTTGGGAGTGAGTCAAATGAGTGAAGGGAGCCAGCTGTATGTTGATGGATAGTAAATAAGTTTGTGGTGATGATCACTTTGTAGTATATACAGATGTTGAATTATAAAACTGTACACCTAAAGCTTATATAATAAAAAAGGAATGAATTAACTGATAACATGAATTACATGATGCAATGTGGATAAATCTTAAAAACATAAGTGAAAGAAGCCAGTCATAAAAAAACACGTATGTGATCCCATTTATAGAAATGTCCAGAATAAGCAAGTCCATGGGACAGAAAGTAAATTAGTAATTTCCAGAAATTGGAAGGAGAAGAGGAATGAGAAGTGACTACTAATGAGTACAGGGTTTTCTTTTTGGGGTAATTAAAAATGTCTAACGTTAGATTAGAGAAATGATTTTAGAACTCGATGAATATACTAAAAGTCATTGAATTGTACACTTTACATAATGAGTTGAATAGTATGTGAATTACGTATGTTAAAAAAATGGAATGGCACATAGGTATTTTGTTTGCTAAACCATACACTGCAATTTTTAATGCCAATTAAGGCAATCAGTTCACAAATTCTGTAGAGTTAACAGAACAAAACCTGAAACAGTGATGGAAGCAGGTAGACCAATGAGGAAACTATTAGAGTAGTTAAGGCAAGAGATGATGGTGCTTACATTAGGAAGACAGTAGTGGAAATGATGAGAATTGTTGATTGGGGGATATGTTTGGAAAGTAGAGTATGATAAGATTTACTGATGGATTGGATGTCATGTGTAAGAAAAAGACAAATCAAGCATAGGTATCTGAACCAAGTGAGGAGCATATTATTTCTTGTAGGGATTTTCTCATTCTTAAAATCCTCAAGCATGACTCATACAGATGACTAACATTTCTTACTCTTCAAAGAATTCTTCCCCTCCCTTTTAGCTGTTGTCCCTACTGAAGTGGAAGCAGGTAAAGAATGAATGACCTGTTTACGTTCTATTTAACTTAAATTTAAAAAACATTTAGGGCACAAGACATACAGGGCACAAACAATGGTTTGTTCTTCTGAATTGATACCGTTGGAGGATGTCACCCTGAAGTAGGTTGTTTATACTTGGGAGTGTGGGATAAAGTTATTTGTTAAGAGACTTTGAAGCAACTTTTGAAAATTTTGTTTGGGGCACCTGGGTGGCTCAGTCAGCTAAGTGTCCGACTTTGGCTCAGGTCATGATCTCATGGTTCATTGGTTCAAGCTTCACGTTGGGCTCTGTGGTGACAACTCAGAGCCTGGAGCCTGCTTCAGATTCTGTGTCTCCCTCTCTCTCTGTCCTTCCCCCACTCGTGCTGTCTCTCTCAGAAATAAATAAAACGTTAAAAATTTTGTTTAATGTGCTCATTGTATTTTCCTCTGCAGTCCGTTCTGTTGGCTCTATTGCACTTAGAAAAGCAGAAGACATTGACTTCAAATACCACTTTGACTTCTTTAGTGTGAATTTTAATGAAGAACTGGTGGCACTATATGGTGGAAGTCTTCAGAAACAGACCAAGTTTGTACATGAATGCATTAAAACAATTCTCAAACTCTATAAGGTAGGAGATAAGCATGCAAATCAATAGTGATCACCTATTAACATCTTTTTTTAAGACATTCAGCATATTTTAAATCATGTATTTGTTTATATGGAAGTTACAGATGACACAAAGGTTTGTTTTTTGTTTTGGTGGGAGTCTTATTTTGAACTCCGTAGTTTTGAAATTTGAATTGGATTTATAAGGGGCGCCTGGGTGGCTCAGTCAGTTGAGCGTCCGACTTTGGCTCAGGTCATGATCTCATGGTCTTTGAGTTCGAGCCCCACATCAGGTTCTCTGCTGTTAGCACAGAGCCAGCTTTGGATCCTCTGTCCCCCTCTCTCTCTCTGTCCCTTCCCCGCTTGGGTTCTCTGTCTCTCTCAAAATAAATAAATAAACTTAAAAAAAAAATAAGAGAAAAAAATAAATTGAATTTATAAGAAATGTCTCTTGTGAATTTAAGGGAAAAAAATTTTTTTAACTTTATAAATCAGAAGTGCATTGAGTTTCCTAAAGATCATTAGTATGGATTTCTGCTTCTAGTTATGAATAACTTGTACTAGGGTAGACCACTTCCGTATGTAAGCAACTATAAAGCTAGCCAAAATATTGAAATACATGTTTTTAAGTGTTGGCCAAGGACCTTGATCCCTGAAAGAAGGAAAACATGTGAGGTGAGCTTCATGATTGCCCTGATTTTCTGCCTGAAAGCATTTCCCAGACCATGGGACAAGTGGGTAAAGATCAAGCAGAACACATTTATATAATTGAACTGAAGAAGGCAGAGATTGGAATTTGGGGCTACTGGAGTGGTTAAATCTGTGGGCATGGTATTAGAAAGAAGAGAGTCAGGCAGAAATAGAAGCTCTAGAAATTTGCATTTTTCAACTTTGAATGCAGTGCTGAATATGCACAGGGCAAGAAGCTACAGGGCAATGGCATACCGAGGAGGAAGTGATGGGATGTATCTACCTCAAGTTCAAGGAATAAGGAGCAATATATATCTTTAGAGAAATTTGAAAGAGTGGTAAAACAGTCTAAAAATCATTCTGTGCCAACACTTCTAAACAATGTCAGGGATAAAATACCACTGCCTACTGAGGTGGAGCCACTGCCTCCCATAGTATGCCACAATGAAGCTCCTGGCAAAAAAAAAAAAAAAAAGCTACTGGAGGAATTCAGGAATACCTGAATTGAGATTCCAGAGGTCACATGGTGCTAGGAAATAGGAGTTCTGATCAGCTGGAGCAGGAAGACCTATTTGAACACTCTGGGCATTGTTGAGATCCCAGAAAGGATACTATTTAGGCGTAAGACTATTCTATATTCTAAGTCTAAAGTAAGAGCCATTCTAGGATCCACCTTAATGCTTAAATAGAAGCCTCAAAAATACTCAAGGGTAAGGGGTTAAGTAAGGTAAGGTAAGTATGTATAACAAGAGAACAGATGAGGAGTCTCAGCAAAGACATGGAAACTATTAAAAAAGAAGAACAAAAAGGAAAATATAGAACTGAAGCAATACATACCAGAAATGAAAAATTCAGTACATAGGCTTTAAGCCGATTGAATACTACAGAATAAGAGATCATTGAATTTGAAGGTACGACAATAGAAACTATCCCAAAATGAAACACCGGACAAAAGAATGAAAAAGAAAGAGCCTCAGGAACCTGTGGGGCAATACTCAGTAATCTAAGATTGATATAATTGGAACTCTAGAAGAGAAAGAAATTGGAAAGGAAAAAATATTTAAAGAAGTAATGGTTCCCAGTTGGTCAATTTTGATTAAAAATTTTCAACCCACAGGTCCAAGAAGATCAGTAAGTGTTAAGCAGGAGAAATACAAAATCACACTTATATGTATCATAGTCAAATTGTTGAAAACTAAAGTAAAGAGAAAAATCTTAAAAGCAGCCAAAAGAAAAAGATCCTTTACCTAACATACAGAGTAAACATACAGAGTAAAAATTACCAGTGCTTTTACATAAGAAATAGTGAAAGCCAAAAAACAACAGGATAACATCGTAAAGATCTTGGAGATGAGGTTAGGAAGGGTACTCTTCAACCTAAAATTGCATACCCAGCAAAAATATCATTCAAAAGTGAGGGCAAAATAAAGATATGTTCAGAGTTATAAAAACTGGCAGTTTGTCATTAGTAGACAAAGGGAAATAAAAGATTAGCATTAGGTGAACAGTACAGTAATACTTGCTGTAGACAAGATGAATGCTAATTAATGGGTGAAAGTTTGAGGAGAAAAAGGATATTTACATGATCTCAAAGAATCTTTTCTGAAATATTCATTAACTACAAAGGGGAAGAATAACTTTACAGTGGAGAAACCTGGCAGATACCATCTTAACCAAGATTAACATCACCGGTAATAACACATGTTGATAGAAACCTCCTTGACATGTGTAATAAGACATATTGATATAAATCTCCTTGACGTGATGCATTGAGAAGGTTGCAGCATAATTTCTGTGGCATTGTCAACCTCACGTTAATCATGAGAAAACGTCAGGAAAACCCAAATTGAGAGTCATACTACAAAATAATCAGTTCTGTTTAAAAGTATCACGATCATAAAAAAGTGAACACTGAAGAACTGTCACAGGTTAGAGGAAACTAAGGAGAAATAACAATGCGAGGTAGGATGTTGGATGAAATCCTGAAATAGAAAAAGTACATTTGTGAGAAAATGGATGAAATTTATATTAGGTCTACAGTTTAGTTAATAACAGTTGAGCTGAAGTTAAAATGTTAATTTTTTTTAAGTTTTATTTATTGTGAGAGAGAGAGAGAGAGAGAGAGAGAAAGCATGCATGGCAGGGGAGGGTCAGAGACAAGAGAGACAATTTCAAGCAGGCTCCACACCATCAGTGCAGAGCCTGATGTGAGGATAGAACTCATTAACTGTGACATCAAAACCTGAGCTGAAACCAAGAGTAGTAGGATGCTTACCTGACTGAGCCATCCAGGCACCCCAGCAACGTTAATTTCTTTGTTTTGATAATTGTCCTATGGCTATGTAAATGTTAATAATAAATGAAGTTGGATGAGAGGCATAGGAGAACTCTCTTGTGCTATTTTTGCAACATTTCTTTAATTTGTTCAAAATAAAAAGGTTAATTTGTTTACAGCAAAAAACCCCATAGTATGAGGTTTATAACTTATTTAGAAGAAAAATATATAAATGGTGAAAAGGATGGGGAGAGGAATGTATAGAATTATTCCTTTGCATTAAGTAAGTGGTATAATATTAATTCAGAGTAGACCAATATGGTTGCATATTGTAATTTCTAGAATACCAGCGACAAAAGGGAGATATAGCAAAAGAGTAAAGAGTAAATGGAGAAGAAAAAGAGTAAATGGAGAAGAAATAGAAGGAAAGAAGAAAGAAATAAGCTGGGACAAATAGACAAGAAACGAATGACAAAATGATAGAGTTAAACCCAACTATATCAATAATTACATTAATTACAGATGGATTAATCACTCCAGTTAAAAGGAAGACGTTGTCAGACTGTATAAGAAAGGCAAGACCAACCCAATTATATGCTAATCTATCTACTAGAAAGTAAAAGCCACTTTAAATGGAAAGATCCTGATAGATTACTTTTAAAAGAATGGGAAAAAATATACGTACACAGATCATTGGAAAGCTGGCATGGCTGTCTTAATATCAATTAAATAGATTCTAGGACAAAAGATATTAGAGTTAAAGGACATTTTACAATGATAGAGTTCATCAAGAAGGCAAAACAATCTCAAGTGAGTATGTACCTAATAACAAAGTTTCTACATTCATGAAGCAGAAACTAACAACATAGAGAAAGAAATAGTAAATCCATGATTAGATTTGGTAATTTCAGCAATCTTATCTCCATAATTCATAAAATAGACAAAATCAGTAAGGTATGGAAGATTTGAACAGTATTAACCAGCTTAACCTGTTGAAATTTATAGTATACTACATCCAACAACTGTAGAAACTTGTTACCTTTATTTTTTTAATTTGTTTTTTTTGCTTTTAAAATTTTCTTCCTCGCATTTGTATTTAAATTCAAGTTAGTTAACATACAGTGTAATAGTAATTTCAGGTGTAGAATTTGACAATTCATCACTTACATACAACACGAGTTCTCATCCACAGCAAGTGCCCTCCTTAGTACCCATCACCTATTCGACCTATTCACCTCCCTTATGTTTATTTGTTCTTTTTTTTTTTTAATGTTTATTTATTTTGAGAAAGAAAGCTCATGTTCATGTGAGCAGTGGGAGGGAGAGAGAATCCCAAGCTGACGGTGCGGAGCCCGACTTGAGGTTCAGTCTCACAGAACTGCGAGATCATGACTATGGCCAAAAATCAAGCCGATGTTTAACCGACTGAGTCACACAGGCACCCCCATTTGTTTTGTTTCTTAAATTCCATGTATGAGTGAAATCATATGGCATTAGTCTTTCTCTGACTTATTTCACTTAGCATAATAACTCTCTAGCTCCATCCATGTTGTTTCAAATGGAAAGATTTAAAAAAAAATTTTTTTTTATCATTTATTTATTTTTGAGAGAAAGAGACAGTGCAAGCAGGGGAGAGGCAGAGAGAGAGGGAGACACAGAATCCAAAGCAGGCTCCAGGCTCCGAGCTGTCAGCACAGAGCCCGACATGGAGCTTGAACCCATGGACCGTGAGATCATGACCTGAGCTGAAGTTGGATGCCTGACTGACTGAGCCACCAGGTGCCCAAAATGGAAAGATTTTGTTCTTTTTTAATGGCTAAATAATACTCCACTGTGGTGTGTGTGTGTGTGTGTGTGTGTGTGTGTGCGCGCGCGTGTGTGTGTACATACACACACATATATATACCACATGTTCTCTATTCATTTATCAGTCAGTGGACATTTGGGCTCTTTCTATAATTTTGTTATTTATAATGCTGCTATAAACATTGGGGTGCATGTGCTCATTAGAGTCAGTATTTTTTATCCCTTGGGTAAATACCTAGTAGTGCAATTGT